AGATGTAGATAGCATATGTAGCAAAAAAATGTAAAATGTAAAATTTTTTTTTTTTTTCTAAAATTCTAAAAAATCGTAAGCTCAAAAGTGTATGTATATACTGACTGAGTACGGGTATAAGTAGAGTCGTGTCCCCAGAAACGACTCACACGTTCCTTCTCGTTTTTTTTCCACTTTCCCTACTCAAATGAAAATGCATTTATTTATAAAGCAAACGACAAAAGTGCCAAGTGGAAGGGACAGGGACAGGGCTAGGGCAGGAGCAACAGGATGTACGGGTGTACGAGTATCTGTGTCTGTATCTGTATCGGTAAATGTATCTCGTGTCTCGTATCCGTATCTCGTACATGGCACAAATGCAAAACTGCATTTGCTAGTTACCTATGGGCAGGACACACCCATCGAGTGGTCCTCCGGCGCCCCTCCGCTTGTGGGGCTGTTGGCAATTTTATTGACAACCCTAACATTTGTGGGTGGAGTTGGTAACCCTTTAGTTTTCACTGCTACTCCAGCTGATGCTGCTCCTCTGGTCGCTGTAAATGTGGCAGGGTGGGGCGGTTGCATTTTGTGACAATGTTTATTTAGATTTTGCTGCTGCCAATTGCTGACATTGCAATTTCTATTCCACACACACAAACACACACACACACACACAGAAAATCAAACGCACACAGATGCGATATGCTGCGTGTGCAATGTGCAGCGTTGCATTTCATTATACACTGCCAGAAAACATTGCTAGAGAGACATGATTAGCGATGGAGAAATATTCCTTATCCTTATTCCTTGTCCTCAATATTCAACTTAAACGAGTAGCATTGAAAGCAGTTCATTTTATGCGAGTTTATTCAAGTATCTTTACATCTGCAAGTGCATCCGTATCCGTATCTGCATCTGCATTCGTATCTGTGTATCTGTGTCTGACGTCCTTTGGCTCGTTTCGTTGCTGCGGTTGTGTGCGTGTGGTGTACTTTTTGGCATTTTAATTTCAAATTGTCAATTGGATTTAAGTACACTCGACAGCAACAACAACACCAGCAGCAGTAGCTGTAGCAGCAGCAGCAAGGGGCATACATATGTATGTATGTAAGTACATATGTATACTCTGATTGTCTTCATCGCTCCCTCAACGCAAATTTTGTGAAATTGTTTGCCTATTATCAGACCAGAGAAACCAAAGTCAGCTACAGTCTCGGCCGCTGCTCGAGTTGGCCATAAAATTTGATTTTAAAATGTGTCAAAAGTGCTTTAAATGTGACAAAATTTGATTATGGCCTTTTGTTGTTCTGAGTTCTGGCATCTGGCATATGGCATTTTGATTGTTATGTGCCACTGAGAGACATTCGGAGACTTGGCTCTGCCACTGAATGGGAATTATTTGGGCATTAAGAGCAACACCCAGTCACAGGTACACACACACACACACACAAAGGTATCTCCAATTAAGCTAATATTATTTTCCACGTTGATCCATTGAAGCAGCACTATGGATATTTTGTGATGGCCTGCCAACGGAATTTCCAATCAGCGAATTCCAAAATGGAATCATAATCCAAACAAGGTTAGCAGCCAGACCCCAAATGAAATTGATCGACCAATCCGAATGGGGCGTTTACAATTTACAATTCATCTGGCAGTCTCCACAGCTGGAGCTGGAGCTGCATCTGGAAACTGGAAACTGGCCACTGGCCACTGACGATTCTGTTGCAATTACTCGCACCAAATGTTGCCGCCAGCTCTTCGCTGGGGTGTCCATTCATTTTGTTGTTCATGGCGGCCCGGCACCCGATGATAATCAGGCAGCCCCAAAGCCAGCAGCTTTGTGCCCCACAGCCTCCGCAGTGTTGTTGCCAGGGAAGTAGTTGCAATTAGTGTCAATTAGCCGGAGGTTTTTAGTTATGGCGCAAAACGTTTTTGTGCAGTTGGTAAACACACAATGGATGGATGGATGAATGAATAAATGCATTCACAGTCTCTCTGGGCTGGGCTGGCCTGGCCTGAAGTGGAGTGGGTGTACGGCTCCACTTTCTATTCCCATCACATGCGAGCGGTGTGCCCATGTGTGGGCTTACAGAGTTATTTGTGCTATTTTATGATCTATTCGGCAAAAAATTAATATACCAAGCCCATAGACAGCAGGGATTAGTCCCCTTTCCCCCAAGTGCACTCATTATATATGCCAGGAGCATGCTGAACAGCTGACGCATTGCTGTCGAGAGGGAGATCAGACCGAAAATCGCATTATAAAGGTATTCTTCTTTCAGCGTTTGCCGAACCCTTCGAAACAGAACTGAACAGAACAGAACTGTGCAAAATATGCGCTGCAGGACGAGTCCCATGCCCTAACGTAGCCTACCCCATGCCACATTTGCCATTTGCCACGCAATTTGAAAACTTGCCAAAAGGCAGACGAGCGAACCCAGAGCAACCTAAGACCAGGCCAAGGATCAGGACAACAGCGAAGGATATTTTGCAAACAAATAATAAAAATCCAATTTTACATTTAATCACGCGCTTAGTCAAACAAAAAAAAAAAACAAAAAAAACAAAAAAAGGGAAATGAAAAAGGGCAGAAATAAACTTTCGACAACGGCTGCCGTGTTGTCGCCCAAAGGACATGCTGCTCAAGCATCAAGCACCCCTCCACCCAACCCACCTAGTCGTACCATTCCATCCCCTTCCAACCATCCATTCATTCATTCATTCTGCCCCTTTGCTCGAGGGCTCAAGGATCAGGCGCTCAAGGCTCAAGGTGACTCAAGTATTTTGCTTAATTTATTGCATTTTCTACGCTAAAATGCGCAAAAACTTTTGCCCGGGCCCGATCCCGAGCCCCTTGGAAATTAGGCTGCTCAACGGCTCCGAAATGCCCGACTCCTGTGTGCTTCCTGTGTGTGTTGCCTCCTGTGCATCCTGTGCGTCATTATAAATTTAAAAAGCGTGTTAAAAGGGGTGCAAAATGCCAGCCTCCGCCTACCGCTGCCGCTGCCGCTGCCACGACCCTGACCCCAACCCTGACACACAATAAATTTCATTTTTCATCATTGCAATTTTTGCGCGTAATTTTTCGTACATGTCGCACATAATTCATTCCCCAGGCAGTGCGGTGCGGTGGGGTGTCGCCTGCGACATATGGATTAAGTGCCGTGAATGGCTCTCCTTTTGCTTCTCCGTTGAAAAATTAACACTCGCCCTTGGAGGGCTTCCCAGCATTCATCTGCGTTTCAATGGGAACGTGGCACTTGTTTTGCATTAGCTGCAGATATCCGATTGGTTTTCCCGTTCCGTGTATCATTGTCGCCAGCTTAGCCTTCATTTGGGAGTAACTTTATGTTCTTCCCCTGGAAAATCTATTCAAATTCAGATGGGTTTTCCCCCAGCCAAAACACCGAATCGGATGCCTCGATTCCACCATGATGCAAATGTCATCACAGTCTGTTGAGTGAATGAGGGACTGAATGGCTGACAGACTGCTTTGTCTGACGTCACCGAACGAAATCATGACGCATATGATAATGACAATGATTGCACTCTCCTGCCGCCCCTCTCCTAGATGGCTCCCTGCTTCGGTGGGGCAGTCAGGCGAGAGCTGGAGAGCTAGAGAGGGGGCGTCATGTGTGATGACTATGAATGGAGATGGACAGACTGAGCAGCGAACTATGCGAAGGAGGAGTCGGGCGGTGGCGTGGTGGGGTGGGCAAGTCAAAGCCAAACGAGACATGGATGTTACTTTTTACTGTCAGCCCCAGCAGCAGCAGACCCAGCAGCAGCAGACCCAGCAGCAGCAACAGCAGCAGTCGCAGTGGATCCCAGGGAAGGACTTCCCTGTGACAGTTGTACAAGAAATACAAATTTGCAAAATAAGCAAGGACCAGGGCCCAGGACCATTGTGAGATAAATGACGACATGCTAAGGGAAGTGTCAACTGATTGCGCTGAGCTAGGCAGGCGTAAAAAACACAACTACAAGGGGGCGGTGAGGGAAACAAAGAGGACGAGGATGAGCACGAGGACGACGACTCCTGCACGTGACGTATACGCCTCGTTGTGCGTGTGATGAACGCACAGAAGCCGCTAAAAAGGGAGCCGGGAGAACAGCAGCAGCAGCAGCACTCCGACACAATAAAACACAATAAAAAGAAATTATGAATAAATAATACGCAAAGTAGCAATAGCTACAACACAACAACCGAAAAAAACAGCGTCGGGAATTCAATGCAAAGCGGGCGGCGTCATCTGTTTATGATTTATATATTTTTTAATATTTGACTGAGCGACAGGCAGGCCAGAAAGACAGACAGACGGACGGACGGACGGAAGGAAAGACGAACGAATAGACAGCCTGGCGACGCTGTTTCCTTTTTGGTTTGGTTCAGAGGGAAGCCCCCCCGACATCTGTTATTCATGGGGACGAAAAATCAACGCCAAACAAAATCAGCCACCATTAGACAAGCATTTGTTTGGCAATTTCAGATTTAGCTTATCTGGCTGCTGTCCTCCTGGTCTGCAGCCTCCATTCATTCACCTTCTCGACTTCCTTTCCAAGTATTTTCAGTTTCTTTTGCTAAATTTAATTAATTTTCACGCCATTTCCGCTGTCCGAGTCTGAGTCTGAGACGGGGCACTGCCTTGAAAGGATTCTTTCTCGCGCAAGGCCAGAAATTTCTCATTAGCAGAAGAAAAAGCGCACGAAATTTTCACTAATGAAATGTTTGCTCGCCACTCGTGTCACTCGCGCATCCGTTTGGGTCCAAGCTGCTGCTGCTGCTGCTGCAGGCGGTTCGGGTTCGGGTTGGGGTTGGGGGTAGTGCTGCCGGAAGTGCCGCTGAATGGAACGCAGCGGCGCCACTTCCGGCCAAACTCTGCGCCTTGATTAGTCTTAATTAGATTCCACCTGAACGGCAAGCAAAAGAGTTTTTTGCCCCACTCCCCCCAAAAATCCGCCAGAAAAAGGCTGCTTCCAGCTCACGTCTAATGATCCTTTAATTCGAGTCTTGTGTCTCACACATCGTCCCGAATGAGGGATCGTATCCATGGGATGTATTCTGTGAGTCGCGTGTAGACCAGCAGCCGATTTTGCCGGCAGTCCAGCTGGCTGGCAAAGGAGGCCACGCCAACGATCACCTGTAGGTCGCGCAGCACCAGCGGACTGCCGGAGTCCAGCAGACAGCTGTTGTCCGCCTCAGCCAAGCTGGTGCACATCATCGAGTCCATTATGATCTGGCCGAAACCAGTCTTCCGGCAATAGTGATTTGACTTCGCCTCCACCTGAATGAGGCGCAGCTGGTTGGTGCTCATCAGGGCGACGTGGTGCCGGCCCCAGCCCGCCGAGTAGGTCCACTCGTCGATGTAGGGCAGCCGGATCTTCTGGGAGGGCAGTGATATGGCGCGCACTCGGTCCGTGAAATTCACATAGCTGGTGCGGATGAGGGACAAGTCGTGCTTGAACTCCTTGTTCATGGGATTGTTGTGGATGGCCTTGCCGGTGACGTGCCGCGTAAAGAGGGACTTGTCGCGCTGGTAGGCGCCGTAGCTGATGGCCACATGGGCCGCGTGCTTGGTGCAAGACGCCACAGTGACGATCCAGCAATGGCCCAGTATGGCACCCGCGCAGAACCAACTGCCCTTGCGTCCCCTAAAGTCCAAAGCCACGACGAAGGGCAAATCGGTGTCGATTACCTCGAAGCCCGCCTCGAACTCCTTCTCCTTAATATCGAGCAGCGGTATAAATCGTATGGGCACGGGCTTCAGCATTTTTGACTCCTCCTCACCAGCCACCGGAGTGAACCAGAGATTCATCACGGCAAAGAGCAGCAGCACGGCGGTCTTTTCCATGATTGATCGATCGACGAGCTGGGCCAGCCAAAGACCGCCACTTGGTTTTTATAGCCAGCCAGCCAGACTACTCCCACCTCAAAAGCAGGCCAGCCAACTGTCGATAGTCAGTTTTCAGAAGTCGTTCGGAAATTTTATGCCGCTGCTTGCAACCAGCTCCGATTTCGCATTTGTTCAGTTCTGCAGCTAGACGGATATTCATTTGCACTTGAGGTTTCTGGGAACTATTTGCTGACATCAACTGCGGCGACAAACAAACACAGCGATTGGGTTGAGGAGTACAGAGGGGCGCACTCGTATGCGGAGAGCGGAGAGCATGAACGTTCACTGAATCTAACACTGTGGATCAACAAAGAATATCGCATTCGAGCCAGCACCTCTGGGGTATTTTTTGTTGTAAATTATAGCAGACCCCCTCCTGCATTCCTAGCAGCAAACCCATGGCATGATGGGTGGCCCCAAAGCGTTTCTCACGCGTCACCAGAAGTCACTTTGGGGTCGATGGAGCGATTGAAACTCGCGACTCTCAGCTCGCGACTTCCTGCCGTCTTTGTCTTGGTACAAAAAAAAAATGTAATAAACAGATCCCTGTGAATCTGCTGCAGCTGTTCCCTGACAGCGTTAACCCAAAAATTATGGGCTTCAAATTAAATTTTCCATCTCCCATTGCTTGCCTGTCTGGAGTCTGGTGTCTGCTGCTGGCGCTGCTGCTGCTGGTCTCGTGTTGTTTTTATGGTTTATGAAGTGTTGCGAAAGTATCTACAGATATAACTGAAATAAAACAGAGTCAAGATACACACACACACACACACACACACACACGCACACAGAGGGAGCACATCGCACTCGCTGCATCAGCAGAATGGACGGAATACGGAATCGTACGGATTTGGGGCTGAATGGAAATCAGGGTGTGTGAGGGGACAGGGGATGGTTTGGCCACTTGTGAAACAACATGCAAAAGGATTTTCGTCGATTTTCAAGTGCTGTTACTCTCTCGTATCTGTCCGCTTGCCACATGTGCTACGCGAACTGTTTTCCCGCCTCACCGCCTCACCAGCTACCCCTCCTCTTGTCTGTTGTTTTTCCTGGCTACTTGCGACTTTTTCCGCATTTTCATCTGCTTTCTCCGCTGCTGCGCCGCTGGCGCCGCTGACTGGCCATTTGGCACTTCTGTTATTTTGTATTTTCCTTAGCACATTTCCCTGCAATCCCCAGCACTCCACACTCCACCCTCCTCCGCTCCGCTCCACTCCACTCTCTTCTGTTCTGTTGTAGTGCTCAGCGGCATTTATTGTTTTTGGCGTCAGTTGTTGCACTTTTTTTTGCACTGCCACTTCGTTTTCCTCCTTTGGCTGGGGCACATCGCGCGTTCTCAGCATTTTTAGCAGTTTATTTGGCCAAGGCATGAAACGAACCAGCAGCAGCAGCAGCCCCAGCCCCAGCCCACTGGTTCTACTCCTAGTCCTGTGGCAACAGAGAAGGATAGCTCCAGGAATACTGTTGGTGGAAAGGCTAACAGAAAGAGAGAGAGTTCTCAAAACTCTTTCGATGCAGAGTCATAAATTAAACAACTGACAAATCAAACTGCCATCAAATGCTTCGTTTCAAGGGCTAAAACAACACAGCGAACACACAGCCGGAGAGCAACAATAAATCCGTACGGAATGCTCAAACAATTACACGGCCACGAAGGGAATACTCGTATGTGTGGGAAGGATCAGGACTCGGCGGCAGGAGATTCGACAGAGCCGAACTGCAAGCGCAGCAATGCAAACAGCAAGGAATCGCCTAGCACGGAATCGTTGCACAATTAACAAAATGAAAGCAAGTGAACGGGGCGGATAAGGGGGGGGAACATTTTATGAGATTTTGATATGCCGCTTAGCAGGGTAGCGAGCCAGCAGCCACAGCCAAAGCCACAGGCAGGCCAAAGGTATGCTCACATGCTGCAGAAGGGGGCTGAAAACCGCTTAAAGTATGCAACAATAATTTGCGGCTCTCACGCGGCTCTCCTGTATCTGTGCTGCCCAGCAGGCAGGCAACTGACCAGCCCTTCAGGGCTTGGCAATTTTTCCACTCCTTCACACACACACACACACACACACACACACACACTAGGCATAATTTTCGGCCCTTTTGGCAACTATCTCTGAACGGTCCACTGGCCCATCCTCTTCAGGCTTTCAGCCTTTTCGCCCTTTTTTTCTTTTCTTTTTTTTTTTTCTTTTTTGACTGCTGCGGCAAATATTTTATATGCGTTGCATTGCTCAGTGAATCCTTGGGGCTGCCTTTGGCCAGTTTTATTGCCATTGCAGATGATGGACATTTGGCGTTGGCGATTGGGTTCTCTCCCTTTCACGGACTCCCCTCTCCACTGCCCTCCGCTCGACCACAGCAGCCGCAGCTCTTTGCTGTCTGGGGCCCGTTTTATGTGCTGCCTGACGAACTTGATTGGAAGTCAGCGAATTCCTCTCTGTTTCCCGTTCCCCTCTTTCTTTGCTTTTCACTCGGTTTTTTCCGTGTCCAGTCAACGGGCACTTCACTAACAGCTTTGAGTGTCCACACAAGCCGCACACACACACAGAGAGAGAGTGAGAAGTGGTGTGCTCTGCGCAGGAAGAGCGTGTTTGGCATCTTCAACTGGATGTTGCCACTGCTGATGCAGCACTTGGCGGAGGAGCATACCCATCGAAGTTGTTTTTAAACCTGAATATCTTTGTGCCGCAATAAAACAATTTGACCGAATTATTTTGCGGTCATCGTTAGCCAAGATCCCTGCAAATGTGCAACATAAATTATTGAAAATATGTGTGCAGCATGTCCGCGATACGCGACAAACTTGCAGCAACCGGCGGCAACCGAAAATGACATTTCAAAGGCAAACCGAAAACATATTTCGACTACAACATTTTCGCGTATTTTAATGAGCATTTTCGTTGCCGCCACCACTGTGGGGGCATCTGGCTGGGTAGGTTGGGTATTGTTGGGTAGGCTGAGGGAGGTGATGCAAATTATGCATGCGGCCGCGACGACACACGGGTCGTATGTGTGATAAAAACCCCCAGAGCATTTCGAGTGCGGTTATGCCTGCCAACTGCCTCTCACCAGGCTGGCCGGCGCAAGACCGAGCCGAACTCGGGGTCGCTCTCTGTGTGCCCCACATCAACATCATCTCATTAACAATCAGGCGAAGCGAGAAGAGAACGAGAACGAGCAGCAGATGAATTGGGCACAGGACATTCCGTTCGCCGTGTCCCCGTACGTGTCGGGCTCAAATTTCAAATCAGTTTTCGGTGCATCGTTTGGCCTGGCCCTCTTTTTGGAGGGTTTCCCCCTTTCAAAGCGACCATTATTTAAATTCAAAAAAGCGATAACGACCGGGTAATGATGAAGTGCAGTAGCAGCAGCAGCAGCATCCAGCCACTGCAGAAAGCCAGCTATCGACTGCAACACAGGACACACAACACCGCACTGAACGTTGCAGGCGCTGGCCAAAATTGGTTACGCGTTTGGGTCAACAGATGCCCAAGTCCTGGGGCCATAAAGTGTGCAGCAGGGGGAGAGAGCGCGAGAGAGAGAGAGAGAGGCTGCTGCTGCAATGGTTTGGTTTTGTGACAGGGTCAACATATTGGCAGTAGTCCATGATGAACGAGGGGCCGCGTTTCCGGCCTTTGCCCGGGACAGAAGCGTGTGAAAATGAGTGACAAAATGGAGTCGTTGAGGCGGCCGCTTAGTGGGTGGATGGGGGTGTGTTTCTAGGGTTACCAGACCATGGCGAAAAGCTCTTTAATATTTCTTAACCTGCGGCACACTCTCGCCCATCAGCTGCTGTAAATCTACCTTGTCTGGTGGTCGCATTTAAATATCTAAAATATGCTCGACAAACGCATCGTTTGTACACCACCACCACCAGACCAGCCAATGGCCCGCTGATGTCATATAAATAACAGATTTAGTGGCCTCAGCCCTGGGTCTCGTTCGTATTTTGTTTGTTTTTAGTCCTGAGCCTTTCGACCAACAGCCAAGCAGCCAGCAGCCAGCAGCCAAGAGCCAGACGGCTGATAACGGAGTTGGCTTTGTGGCCCTAGACTAGGCGTAGTCATGGTCCTGCTGCTGCTGCTGCTCCTGAACCAGTTGCTTTTTATGTGTCATAACCCTGGCGACCATGGACCATGGGCCATGGACGTGAATGCGAGCCTAGACACAAACAGACGCGTGGATATGGACGAGAATGTGGCTGTGGACATGGGCTGAGGACGTGGCTGTGGCCTGTGGACAGTCGACAACGTTGGCGGCTTTTAATGGCTGACCAAACTGGCGCAAAAAGCAAAACAGGAGGGCAAACAATGGCCGCGCCATCATTGACTGCGTTAATTGCTGTCATTCATTTGAAAAGTCATACGCGCGATTTTTGGACCCCACAGACCGAGACCAAACCAGACCAACCCGACCAACCCGACCATGGGCGACCTTCCGTACGTCCTTCCTGCCGTTAAAAGTGATGATTATGCGTTCACTCTTTCCTCTTACCTCTCTCCTCATTCGCTTTCGCTGCGGCGATTGCAGCTTTGGGTTCGCGTCTCTCAGGTCTTCCATAACATTTAACGGGGGTTTTGGCTCGGATCGGCTCGGTTTGGTTTTATGCTCTCCCTTTTGGGCATCCTGCCACCCGCTCCATCATTGCTGTCATCATCGATGGGCGCTGCTTTGGTACGCTGCAGATCTTAATCCCCCACTGGGAACGGGGGCCAAAAACAATCTGCGCTTTACTCTTACTTTTATGAAAGCCCTCCCCTCCCCACCCCCCTACAAACAATACCCCATTCCCTTTCAGCCATGTCATATTATCTGCTTACTTAGACCCGAACCCATAGCCAAACCCGTACCCATTGGTACTTCGTATCGACCCGTGACTATTCCTTTTCCCCCGATCCCCAAGCCGAACCTATCCCTGGGCAAATCCAATTTGGCTTCTAAGCCCCCCCGACATTTTTGTT